TGTGTGTGTATGTGTGTGTGTGTGTGTGTGCGTGCCCAAGATCCCGGGAGGAGAAAGGAGGAGAAGGGATTGCAGCATGGCCACCCCCCTGGGAGGTGATTTCTCACTTTCTGTCTTTCTGGTGAGTACACACGCCCTATAGCAAAAACCTCTCAAAAAAAAAAAAATCCCTACCCTGAACTCTAGAGAAAAAATATCAGAGCCCACTTCCCAGTTCTCTTCCTCCCCAGATTTTCCTGTGGGATGAACCCTGGGCCTCAAAAGAACCAGTGGGGGGGGAGTCGAATCACCCTGGGGTTGACTGCTCTCACCATCCACAAAATGTGAAGACTTACTCTACACACGCTCCTCTGCCCCACCAGCAATGACCCCTGCTACCTTCTTGGACAACATATGGAATCAGCAGCTACCACTATATACTCCTGCTAGGCGATGTGGGAGACAAGAATAAAGATATCCCAGATCGCCAAAGGAAGCTTGGGGGCCCAACTGAAGGGAGGCAACAAGTACATAGAAAAATCTGACTAAAATCCTATCTAAGGAATACCTCTGTAAATGGCCAGTGTCATCAGGTGAGAGCAAACAGGCACGTGTTTTTCTGTACAACCCGACTACCAGCAAATCCTCCCAGCCCACCGCCTTCACTTGTTGCAAGCATCTTTCATCACAGGAGTCCCAAGCAAGACTCCTTGCTCCCAGTCTCGGTTATGCAGCTCCCTCCCAGAGTCCCAGATGTCCCTCCCTGAGCACAGCCCTTCACTCCTACCTGGCATCCCCTCCGGGCCGCAGGGAGCGAAGCGGCCAGGCCCACCTCTGTGACGCCCTCCTCCAGGCCGAGGCCGAGGCTGAGCCCAAGCCCAAGGCCAACCCCGAGCCTGAGAACTTGCGGGCCCTCTCCATGGCTCTTCGGGCTTTTCCCCGTCTGCCTACCCTTCCGGCTCCACTACAGCCTGCCCACCGCCCTCCCCACCCGCCTCCCCTGCAGCCGGCCCAGCAGCCTACAAGCCCCCACCCCGCAAACCTATCCCCCGGAACCCGGGCCGGCCAGACCAGTTCCACCGCTAGGCGCAGCCATCACCGCCGCCGCCAGAGTGGGGCGGGGCGCTTACCCGCGCGGCCACCCACCCAGCAGCCTGTCAGGGTCCGGCAACCCCACTGACTGAAGAGCTTTCTCTTTTAATTTGAAATGGTTGCAGCAGAGGGGACTGCAACTATATCGGGCTGGAAATCCCGCAGCCCCATCTCCTCAGCCTCCTAAATGCTCCACCCATCCTTTATCTACACTTACTGGTCAGGGCCTCTCCGTCAGTACTCCCCCTGATGGTAGAACTTGTTTCTGCAGCCACCTCTGTCCCTCTCTAGGGTCCCAAGGGCTGAGAGAGGGCCCTGGCCCCCAAAGCTGGGAGAGAAAAGGGCCTGCCTTATCCTTCTCTTTGTCATATACTACAAGGAGGTCTGTGATTGGTGACCCGAAGGATCCCTCTTCTTTCCCATACCTGGTGAAGTCCTCCTCAGCCAACATGTGCCTGGGAATAGGAGAGTAGCGGGTAGGGGGAACCTGAGGAGGAGCAGGGTAGCTGACCTTGCTCTCCACAGCCCCGAGGTACCCCAGGCTGGAATTATGGCTTATGTGGTTGTCAGCCAAGGCAGTGAAAGCTGGAGTTGAGAAAGGGAGAAAAAAGTTCAGAGACCCTTCTAGCCAGGTACCCTACCCCAACTTCCTCCTAGGACTTTCCCCTCACACTCAGATGTAAAAGAGACCAATGGATGTGGATTCCTCAGGCCACCCCTCCCCACTCCATCCACCATCCTCACCCCTTCACCCCACCCCCAAACTAGGGTTCCTCCTCCACAGTCCCTTTCTAAATCCTGTGCTCATTCCTGTGAGTCTTAGAAAGAGCTGAAGTCAAGGCAGTCTACAAAGAAAGGCATGACTAGAGGTGTGACTAATAATAATTCCTCACATCTCTATAGCCTAGTACAGTTTTCCAAGGGCTTTCTCGTCCATGATCTCATTTGATCCTTGCAGCAGTTCTATGAAGAAGGCAGCACATATATCATTAGCTCCTTCTTGCCAAAGTGGAAACTAAAGACAGGCGATAGGGACTTGTCCAAGGGCACACAGTTCTAAGGGACATAGCTGTGATCTGGGCTCAGGTTTTCTGAACACTGTCTTCTGCACCTGCTCTCTCTTAATAAGGGGTAAGAACTTGCTCCTCTCCAAAAACCAGGGTGCATGGCTTCAGGCCAGGGCCAGGGGCTGATGGGTACGTACTGCTGGCGTAGTCAGGGGGAGCATACATGTCGTTGAGGTGGATGCTGCCTGGCTTGGCCACCTTCAGATAGACCATATCAGATGTATTCTTCAGTGAGGCCACAGCTTCCTCATGCCTCACATCCTGCAGATTGGTGTTGTTCACCTGGAAGAAGAGAGACCTCAGGCTAGGACTTGGGAAAAGGGAGAGACTTTCCAGGGAACCCTGAGAGGTACCCCTGCAGTGAAATTCACCAGTATGCTGAGGCCTAAGTATAGTCCTGTGAGAAGCAGAGAGGCAGGAGGTACAGGTAGGGTAGGTGAGGGAGCTCAGTCACACAAAGAACTAAGATCCTGGGGTCTGGGTAAACACAACTCATGTGGTACTTTTGAAAGTCCCATGATGTCTTGTCCCTGAGTGTGGTTTAGATAAAGTGAGAGAATGCTGGAGCTTCTCTTGTCCACCCTACCATTTGAGCATCCCCGTGAAGTCTGTCTCACCGCCAACAGCCGGTCCCCGATCTGTAGGCGTCCATCCTTCTGAGCAGCACCTCCTTCGATGATCTTGGTGATGTAGATGCTGTTGTCTCCTGGGATGTGCTGGTTGCCAATGCCCCCAGCAATGCTGAAACCCAGGCCTGGGTGGGAGCCAGCAGGGAATAGGAGAGGGCCATAACGAGAGGTTACAGTGTTCAGTCACTTGCTGATTCAATTCCCCTCCACCAACCAACCCACTGACCCCACAAGAGCATTCCCGGGGATTCCAAACACTGGGCTGCCATCCCAAGGTCAATAAGGTTATGACCTGAAGTCAAGAAAGAAGGCTGTGAGCTGGAATAGGGGGAATCAGGCAAAGAATAGGCCACTTCATTCCCTATGGGGCCAGTGAGAACCAGGGGCCAGGGGCTCTGGCTAGAGCACAGGAACCTGGAGGGCCGCACCTTTGGGCCCCTTGAGCAGGTTGACCTCCATGATGGTCTCAGGTGGGGGCTGTCGCCTCCGCACCACCAATCGCACCACAGGGCCCGCCTCCTTCAGCGCCTCCACGGCCCGGCTGTGCACCACCTCCGACACGTCCACCTCATTCACCCGCAGCACACAGTCATTCACCCTGCGGGGGAAGCCCAAGAGGCATGACACTGCGCCACCACCCCTCCACCCCCACTCCAGCTTCCTCCCTCTCTTCTTCCTCCCCTCCTCCTCCTTCCTCTTCTCCTCTCCATCTCAGATCTAATGGAAGGGTCATCCTGCCAGGCCCTCCCTCCTCCCCCCCATCTGCATCCTGCCCCTGCTACCCACAGCCCTGCTTCCAGGCCATCTCACCCCAGCCTCCCGTCCATGGCAGCTGCTCCACCAGGGATGATCTTGGTAATAAAGATGCCAGGGTCATCTGGGACATGGGGGTTGTCAATGCCACCTGCGATACTGAAACCTAGGCCAGAGTTGCCCTGCAGAAGGGAGTGGAAAGGCATGGTCTGTTCACTCTGAGGTCACGAAGAAAGGTATGGGCACCCTGTATCCCCCTACATCCCAGAACAGGTTCTCCAGGTCTCAGAAGAAGTCATGGCAGTACAAGAAACCTGGTGGTTTCCCAGCCTGTATGACCATTCTGGCAGGGAGGCCTCAGCAAACCCAACCTCTCCCCAGTTCTCCAGGCCTCAATGAGCCAAATCAATTAATATTGGTTAGTGGGTTGAATAATGCAGTGATGTGGCCTCTGTGGGCTGCTGCTTCTCCATCTTCTCAATGCAGGTCCCCTCATGAGTCTTGAAACTGAGACTCAGGGCCCTCTGTCTCCTGGCTCCCACCCTCTGCTCTGCCCTTTCACCCTCTCCCACTGGCAGACTCACCCGCTCAAGTACTATCTTCTCATATTTGAACATGCCATCGCTGCCATTCACCTAGGGGAAGACATGGACAGTTTCCTCAGTACCTCCTGCCCTCCAAGCCATCTGCCCTCTGGCCAGCCTGCCTCCTCCCACACTCCCACAGAGTAGGAGAGCCCGAGTACAACCCATGGCACCTCTTGGCCACAGATGGGGACAGGCTGACCCCAAGGAGGCCACTCCCCTCCCCTTGTTTCCAACCACATCAGGCCAAACCCAGCTGTTCACTTAGCCCAGATCAGCTGTCTGGTTCTGAGCCAGCCAGTGGTGCACTCACCGAGAGGCTGGGCTCCAGGGCCTCGGGGTTCACTAGGAGGGGTGCAGGGCTGGCCTAAGGGGGATGGCAGAGATGGAGCACAGCAGACAGGCAAACCACACCACACCCAGCATCCATAAGGGACACCCAATGGCCTGGACAGGGAATCCCTCCCCTTCTAAACCAAAGCTCTCCCTGACTTGAGGATCACGGATTCACAGCATGTCAGAGCTGGAAGAACAACAAACACCATCTTGTCCAGTGCCCCTCCCCCATGTGACAGACAATGACGCTGAGGCTCAGAGGAGACATGTGATATGCCTAAAGGCACACTGGGAGTTAATGGCAGAGCTAGAGTTAGAGGCTCGAACCTGGATTTCCAGGTGCTTTCCGAGTAAAGCAACCTGTTGAGGCCACTGATGTTTTGGTCACTCATTTCCTTCCCCAAGCAGAGCTCATGGGAAAAAGGAAAGTTACCCCCTTCAGAGCACTTTGTCAACTCTCGTTCTGTGCCTTCCGTGGCTCCATGGAACCCAGTTCCTTAAATGGGCAGAAAGAGTCAACATCCTAATCTATTTTCCACCAAGGGACTTTGGTAGAAACCTTAGATCCTGAACTCTTTGTGTTTCCCAGAGCAAAGAGCCAGAATGGGATCTGTTCAGGAGTCAAGGATGATGCCAGAGGCAGGGAACAGGAGCAGGCTGGACAAGATTCCCTGTGAGGGAGAAGTTGATAGCCCACAGAATGATTGGCAGCAGAGTCTGAAGTCTTCAACACTCAGTAGCCACAGGAGGAAAGGCAAGGGAAGGGGTCAGAAACAGGGTTGGCTTTACCAACCCAGAAGTAGCCTCCCAGACAAGACATACTTGTGGCCATTTGTCAAGTGAAAATGTGATTCTGGACAGACAAGCAGCACCTACTACTTGGCTCCTGCTCTCAGCCCCAAGAATAGAAAAGCCCCGAGAATAGAAAAGCCCCGTTCACCTCTCTCTGCCTCAGGTAGCCTGATGCCCCTCCCCCATCCCTCTCTAGCTATGGTGCCCCTTTCCTGACTCCTGGCAACTCCTTCAGAAGAGAAGAGCTGGAAACCCAGGATGGGGGCTCCTCCACATGGCCTACTCTGCTTTCCCCATCCCTCTCTACCCCACACAGCTTTGCCTTCAAGAAACAGAAAGAGGGAAGACGGCTGGCTAGTCATATCTCCACTACTTCTGGGTATAGTCCTAGGATTTCATGCCCTGCAGCCCTGGGAATTAGTGGGAGGACTCCAGCTGCAGCCTCACCCTGGTCCCTGATCCCAGCCGGAAGAACCAATGGCTCTTTAGAGACCCAAAACCAGCACAGCTGCCTAAGGTCCCATTCCACAGACACGAGCAAAAGAGACCCATGTAGCTCCTGTGTGCTCACATGTGACAAGCCATGCCTCAAGCCCTGTTCAAGTGGCACCCAGAGCCTTCCAGCTCCTGGTGGGCCATCTTCCAGTCTCTACCCTTCCCCCACCCAGGGATCTTGCCCTCAGAGCTAGGAGCCATCCAGAGATCAGCTCTGGTAAAGAAACCTTGGCCAACTGGCCCAGCCTTGGGATCGGCACCTTTCTCCCAGCTAGGCAGAATAAGCATGAGAGGGTATTTATAAGGGGAAGGCCCCAGGACAGAGGGGCAAAGGAGAGAAGAGGACTTGCCACAAAGGTCAAGGGAGCAAGGCAAAGGACACAGGAGACAGTAGTCATGGACTGACAGAAGGCTAGAACCGAGGACTCCTCTCCCCCAGGAAGTCCCTACCTTTGCTTCTCAGTGAGAGCACATCCTATCCCCAGAGGAGAACAGAGGCGGCCAGAACAGTCACCAGCTTGGGGCAATCAGCACCTGTCCTCGACAGCAAACCCTCCTCCTCCTCCTCTATCCCCACCCTGGGGGCTACAGAGCAGGATAACAAGACAGGCCCTCCGCCATGCGTGCCAGGGACCTGGCTCTGCCAGCCCAGCCTCCATTTTGCTGCTTCTCCCACAGATGCTCCTTCCATTTTCTAAGCTGGCAGTTTAGGCTGGGAGTGGAAGCCGGAGTTGTGCCCAGCACTCAGGGGCTCCCAAGCTGTGCCAAGTCAGGGCTGGGGGGCTAGGCTCTCCAATATCTCGGAGTACCCGAGGGGGACATGCCCCACCGGGGTCAGTCTCTGCACCAGGGCAGCTGCCCCTTGCCTGGCTCTAGGCACCATGTCTGCTCTGGAGCGAGGCAGCTTGCTTCAGCCCACCCCCCCCCACCCCCACCTTGACACCCCCGCCCCCCCCCCCCAGCCCCCACCCTAGCACACACACTTCAGAGCTGCTTGGACAAAAGAGTCCGTCCTTCTCAGCAGCCTCTCAGCCTTCCTTGGGACGTGTCTCTGGCTTCCTCCCCCTCCCCTCCCTTCCCTGTCAAGCGCCTCTCACCAGGGACACCACACATACACACACACATACGCACACACAAGCAGGCACATGCATGCACACTCTTGCAGTAACATGCTCACACACATATACATGTAGCCACACACATACATATAGGCAAAACACAGCTATCCCTGCAGCCTCATCTACAGAGACACCTCTACATTCAGAAAGACATCCCCATACGTCCATGTGCACATTCACACACAAAGGGACTGGAACTGAGAGGGACTCATAGCATCAAGAGATGAAGCTCAGCAAGCCGGGCACATGGGCTCCTCTACATAGATTCATGGGAGCTCCATTACCTTCCTCCACACACCATAACATACATACACACACAAATACACATATACACATATGTCCCCCCTACGCAGAACGCAATGCCCCCTCCTCCCCTCCGGTGGAGACACATACCACACAACAGCCCCCGCAGAACCTCCCGCCCCCTGCCAGACACAGAGACACTGCCAAACCCCCACACTGAGACAAACCCAATTCCCACACACAGGAAAATGTGCCCCTCCGCCATACCTTCACCCGCTGACACACACAGCTTCTCTTAATTCCCTCCAAATGGAGACCCCCACAAACAGACACACACAGTGACTGCCACGTCTCCAATCTCCTTCCATTTGCCCAGCTGCAATGCTAGGGCTCAGGGTCCAAGAGCTTGGAGCCCCAACAACCCCTGTTGTACCCCAGGCCTCTAGGCCCCCACTTTCCAGCCCTCCTGGCTTGCCCCACCAACCGTCTCGACCCCGCTGGTCCATACCTGCTCATACCAGTCCCGATTGGTGCAGGTGCACTCAGGCCACCAGCTGGGGCCACTGCCGTTGAGTTTGGGGGTGCTCTTGCCCGGGACTTGCTTAGGGGGCACTGGCCCCACATCCCGGCCGGTGGGAATGAGCTTGGCCTTGGTGCGAGGGGTGGGGGTGGCCCCCGCCTGCGAGGGCAGGGTCTGTGAGCTATAGCCCCCATAACCCGCGCTGGCCCCATTGCCCCCACCTGGCCCGTAGGGGTCGGCCGCCCCCCTGCCAGTCCCCATAGCCCGGAGGCTCAAGGCGCCGCAGGGCGGCCAGGCGGGTCACCTCATAGCACTCAGGGCACTTACAGCAGTGCTGGTGCTTGTGCATGGCACTGCCCCCCGCGGCTCGGACCCCCCAGCCCACGCTGGTTTCCACG